GGCCACGCCGCCCCCCCTGCCGTCTCCTGCGGCTTGTCCTGCTGCTGCTGCTCCTGCTGCTCCTGCTGCTGCTGCTGCTGCACTGTGTACTGAAGAAGGCTTCACTTCAACTGTACAACTGCAGACAGTAACAGGTCAAAGGTCAGTGCTGTAAATTTGACATCAAACTGTGTATGTTATAAAAAAATCTCCAAGAATCATTACAGTATATCTTGTGATGAATCAAGGTTTTTGATCAGATATGAGTGCACTTATTACTGGCTTCATGAATTCACTGTTTCATGGGATAAAGTGGACCGTAAGCAATGTACAACAAGAGATTAAAAATACAGTCACTGCTTTAACAGGAGAGTACACACTCCAACATCAATTACAACATAGACACTTGACTTCAGGAGTTCATACTGTAGTTTAATGTTTAATATCTCTTAGAAGAGAAGAGAAGCAGTCTTAGAAGAGCTTTTTTTTAGGTTTGAGTCAAGTTTTTTTTCTATGTCCTCAGACCAGCCTACGACGTGCAGCAGCGGCTGCTCCGTTCTCTGTGGTATGAAGACCATCAACATCATTCCAGTGGATAAGATGTGAAACACGGAGTTCCTCTTATGACTGCTGCATCACCACTGCAGGTACTAATTGACAGCTCATCTTACTAGGTCAAAGAAGTGAAGTATTAGACCAGACCACGGCAAACGACTGTGGGACACATACGGCCTGCTGGCCTATCCAGTCCGGCTATAGTTCAGGTGAGACTGATGTCCTCACATCCTTTTGTTTCATGCGTTACAATTTTTGAACTGTAATTTATGTTGATGCCACTAGACGGCGGCAGAAATCAAATGTGCTTAATTATCATTGAAAGTTTAGATTTTTCTTTTTATTCTTGTTCAGTTTATTGAAATGATTTCACCCAGTACTCTATATTTTAACTGATACTGACCATCAAAAAGGGCCCCTGTCTTAGAACCTGTCCAGGAATAGTTCAACTGGTTTGGTGAAAAAGTAGAGCAGAGTATACGGCACAACCTGTGGCCATACCCTGTAATATAAGACACAGTTATTATGTCTTGTTGTAAGTAAATTGTGTTAAAAATAAAATTTTGAAAAAGTAAAATGTATTCCTCCTTATATTGTGTATATGTGATGGGTCACAGCAGTTGCTTTTTAGTTAAAAATAAAAAATAAAAATAAAAATCCTTTCTATGATTTTTAAGTGTTTGTCGCCCTCTGACGGTCAACCTTTGTTACTACAGTCCAAGTTGTGCAACAAAAAGTTACACAAATTGTATTTTTTCTTGCTGAAGTACATGAGATTATGAGAAGTATTTATACAGTCCTTGTTTTTTTACTCTCACAGAGGTCTTCCCAAGCTGTGTGCTGGAATTATCCCAAGGGGGGATAATTAATGCTGAAGGGATGTTGATTTTTACTGTACGACTGTGACAGTTCCACCAGAGAGTACTTCTACTCCAACCACCAGGGTGCTGACATGAAACCCACTGAAGTACAGACAAAAGACAACATGATCCAGAGCAGAAAGAAGGTTGATCATGTTACTTTTATTGTACACACAGATACTGTATCGTGGATTCGGATCACTTGAGGATCCTATTCAGAACTGGTTGTCTCTGATTCCTAAGCCTCCCAATGTTCTGAGCTACAGAGCCAGGCTGGTGAGTCCATCAACACTCATGGCCTAATGTGTGTTCTTGTATTTGTGCTACAATCTAAATATTGTTAAATCCATATTCATTTCATTATATGATCTTGGAGAACGAAAAAGTGCTAAAGCTAAAACTCATCAGACTTTGAGGAGTTCTAAACACTGGGTAATGGCTGCAGCTCAGAGTGGCATCCATCCATTATTTTATTTTATTTTATCTCTACTCAGAATCAGCCTCTGATGCGGGCGGAGCTTATCTCAGCACAGGACTTTTTGTAACTTCAGAAAAAAAACAAAGTAGTTTAAATTCACTCAAGTGCAATGATATAGCTCCTTCAAGTGGTAAACGTTTGTCATTACAACTTTACCCAGAGGCGATTCTTTTCCCGTGTGGATACAAACGATTATTAGTTGATGTATTTCTCTGATTTTGGGATATAAATGTTTGTATTCTGGAGTATTTCCCTGAGTGCTCTACCCCCAGAAATGTCTACTTAATTCCTTACGTCTGTGGACAGCAGCCCTTAGTGGAACCCTTTGCCCACCCCTGTTCTAGTGTCTGTTGATAGAACTGTCTCTCGTTTGTACTGCCTTTCTCCACCAGGGGGCCTGGAGTGTGTGCTTTAGAGAGAGAGAAACAGACAGTGTTGGAGAATGACCTTGTTGTGAGTGTCCTGGAGGAGCTGGACGATGTTCGACTGATGATGGAGAGGCTCCTACCTCATTTCTTCACTGGAGTCCAGATAAGTTGGACACATTTAAAGTTTAACATTAGAGTAAAATTTCCATTCTTTTTTTTATTGAACAATCATAAAAATTATACATATAAAACAGAGCTAAACAATACATAATAGTAATGAATAATAATAGTTAATAATACTAATTAGAATATATATCGAAAGAGTGATGAGGATGTGACTCCTGTGGGGTTCGACTGTGAGTCTCTGGTTCTGGTGCTAAAAATAAGATACATTTGCATCACATAATTTTTCTGCAAACATATGATCATTTAAAAAATAAAAACTCAGCGAAGTAGGTGTTGGAATTAGGTCACTAAGGTCATATGTGAGAATAAAAGAAAAAAAAAACAAATTTCAGCAACATAAGTTTCATCCTAAATATGTAAGAACAACAACCTTTTGGATCCCTGCCGTGGATCACACAGAGTACCTGGCACTGCTAGTGTTATTTGGAGTACATCTGAAGCTGTAGTCTTCAAATGTACTTGTTTTTCTCCCTTGTCAAACACAATCACCTGCGACATATCAGGACACACAGATTCTCTGAAACTCCTGGCGAATGAATCAAAGCAGCTCTGTCCAGAAAAGGCATTTCTCTGTGATGTGTTTGGACAGACCATTACACAGGCTAACAGACGCTGATAGCAGCTGATGCTAAGTTTACACACAGTGTTCAGCAGCGTGTCTGACAGCAGCAGGTCAACATTAGAGCAGGTTGGGTTTTTTTAGCTCCATCTCTCCATCTGATCAAACTCCACCAGGTTTCTGGCCCAGTGTAATAAATTCCTCCTGACAGCCTCCACTGACGGTCTGTAAACAGGGTCTGTGAGCCCCGTCTCACCGCGTTATCTTCACCACCACCAGCTGATAACAGACCAAAGTCTTCAAAGTCAGGACACGAGATCCACAACTATTTAATCAGGAGCTTTTCTCTGGGCCTCTGGTGATACGCTCTGAAGACACACATTCGAGTGTTTGTGTGTGGTTTTGGGGGGGGGGGCTCATGTTTGTTTAGGCTGCCTGTCTGTTTCACTGGCCCTGGCTCAGAACCATAGGGGTATAATTCTGTGGTGAGACCACCAACCTTCTAGGTTTCTCCGTCTCAGACCCTGGGGTCTTGACATATCGTCCAGATTTAAGAATGTTGACGAAGGTCATTTTTCATCACCTACTTTGGAGACCACTGCTGTTACACCCACCTGTGGGGTCTAAGGATGACCCCCTTTGTTTCTTTGGTCAGAATGACCTCAAGGACAACACAAGGGTGAAGCTCTTTGTGGCTCAGATGGTTTTTTTTTTTGACAGTATAAATTAAGAGGAAAAGTCTTCTTTTTCCATAGAGCTTCGTTAAAGTTGTCTTCTTCCTGCCATCAGTAGCGTCACTCCCTGGTGGCCAACTACTGCTCCTGTCCTACTTTCATGCTTCCCTTTTTAAACCATGGACTTTCTTCATGTTACATGCAGCCCATCTCTGCTCCATTGATTTCCACAGCTGTGATAATCAAACCTCCGTCCTCCATCAGTCAAGTGGAGATTCTAAAAATGATCTTTTTTTCCTAATCCCACAGAAACAGAAGATGTTGGAGCATCACTCAATTTTATTTATTCCTTGGATCCTGTAAGTACCTATCACACACATCACTCTGTGTGCTGTGTCTCTATATTTACTGCAGTGTCCCAGTTCAGATATTTGTTATCCTGCTCCCAGGAATTCCACGACAGGGAGAAGAGGAAAAGGGAAAAGGTCCAGGATGATTACAGACTACAGTCTTCACTGCATGAATGGCATCAGGAGTGAAGACGGTGGAATGGTACTGCATGGCTTTGGAACAACAACATATACATGGAGCGTATAAATGGCTCTGTTGCTGCATGGAGCATGAAGGCCAAGACTCTGGACTGAATGTTTGGATTAGATTAGGAAAATAAAAAGGCATCACAGTTATTCCCCAAGTGCCAAAACACAAAAATACAGATTTTATTTCCAGAAAAGTTGGAACATTTGGTCAACTTCAGTCAGCAACGGTTCTGAGAGGGAACGAAAGAAAAACCAACACAAATAACTTTCTGGAAAGTTCCTCAGTTATCAGGTTTACTGGTAACAGGTCTGAGCATCAACACCAGCTGTACATGTCAAACTACAGTCGACCGTAAACCAGTCCACACAGACCACAGCGGGTCCATTCTACATCCAGTCTGTTCAGATTTCTAACTAGCGACGTCAGTTGGTTTCAGTCGATGAAGATGATCATTGTTTTTTCTTTCATTGGACAGAACCAACCAGTCAAGTCGAAGGACTCAACTGGACATGAAGACAAAACAAAGCTGATGACCAACAACATCAATGGCATCAAGATAAACATCAAGGTCAACACTGACACTGACAAACACCAAACCACACATCTGGCAGCTTCTCTAGCCTTTCATAAAATTCTGTAAAAAAAACATTTTTGTTGCTGTGAGTGTTAACAGCAGCTGTTCAAACCCAGAGGTGGTCTTTCCAATAGAGGTGGTCTATTAACATGTGATACATCTGCAGTGTGATAACCAATCAACCAAGCATGATTACTCACATCTGTGCACTGCAGATGAATGATGGATCCATCAACCAACCACCGTAACTGTTGTGTTTCATAGTTTGGACTGGACACAAGTGCTGAGAAAACATTGGACAACAGAAAGTGCACATCAATCAGAGCAAAACAAACAAAAATCTGAGGGAGAGCTCCAGAGCAGTTTTGACTGACTCGATGCTAGCCATTTGGTTCCTTTGGTGACATTATGCATCCATTGTAATTTTTATGATTTTTTTTTTCTGACTGCTTACAGAGTTGCCCCCTGACCCCAGCAGACGCTGCCCTGAATGACAGCCATGTTTTTATGGCTTATGTGAAAGGCTGGCTGTGAAACAACAACAACAACATTCAGAGCTGCCCCACTGGTAGAGATCAAGCTGCCCTGAGCAGACTACGTGGGCCACATACGACAAGGTGCTGTAACGACTGATGTCAATCCTTCGGTTTCATGCAAAATCAAGAAATTGGCTGTAATTCCTGTTGAAGCCACTAGGTGGCGGCAAACATCAAATGTGCCAAAGTATCTTTGAAAGTTTAGGTTTATTCTTGTACATTTAATTTGCATTATCATTAAGTATTGAACCTCATTTTAACCAGTGAGTCAAACAGTTTGCCCTCTGCTGGCCTAGATAAACACTCTGTAGAAGGAACCGCTCCAGTTCCAGTCTGCCCCCTGTAGCTACTGAAAGACAAGAAACAAGTTTGAAATCATTTTAGAAACATGGGCTGAGTGTAACATTTTCTGCCTGGGGCTCTTTCTTCTCTGGATCTGTGAGCTGATAGGCTGATTTCCTTCTATCTTGTTTTGTCTGGATCTCAACACACCTGAGTTCTTATCTCCTGCTCTTTTGTCGTCTTACGAGGCTGGACTTGGGCCATAAAAAAAACCCCTTCTGCTGTAGGGTTTTGAACCGTCAGCCTCCTGTCAGCACAAGTCACCTTGGGTTTCCCCAGAATCTTCTCAGAAGAATACATTTATAATGAGTGGATTCAAGTAAAAACAAAGGTCTGACTGCAGAAGCCAGACTCAGCTTTTGTTTGTTTGTTTCTTCTTTTCTTCTCACTTTTTATGCTGAAGTCTTAAAACGCTGCTCTTTCCATTTAATCGCCAGCAACACGGAAATGTGAGGTTTTTACGAGAGAACGTGGAAAACTGTTGGAACATAGTGCTCTGCAGTAAAAGTTTAAATGTGATAAGACAGGCACGCAACAGGCCACCTCAGAAACAAATCTAAATAATTAACTCTGCTTCAGATAGTCCCACGATTTGGGTTTTCCCTGTAGAATAAAATTTAAAAAAACATTTCGTATTTGCTGTTGAAACACACACACACAAAGAGACAAAAGTCATGTTATTATCAGTCCCATGAGGAATGTTAGTTTAACTGTGGTGTGTACAGATCAGCCGTAGATGGAAAAGGAACAAAAACTGCTGCCAGTCCTAAGAGAAAAACCTAAACAAGTTTTAAAATGACTAAAAAGATAACACAAAATTAGCTAGGTGTTTGCTAAAAGTGCATAAACAAAACAGCGGCAAACAATGTTAGCCAATTGATAACTTAAGGCTGCTAATTATTGTGATTATTTTAAAAATAATAATGACGTTTAATGTTAGCCAAAAATGTAGCATCAATTAAGCCAGAAATATTGATTTAAGTTAAATCCATAAATCCATTTGAGGTTCTTACTAATCTGAGTATATAGTAGATGAAGATTATTCTTTAATCTGACTGGGAGACGTTACTCCACTCTCCTACTTCAAGGTGATGCTGCTCATGTGCAGACACGTCAGAACCTGAAGGTGTTTCTCTTCCACTTCCTCGACTAAAACACAGTTTTTGTGAGCAGGCGTTGTGTGTGCGTGCTGTGTGTGTGTGGCCACACCCGTTTGATAATGTCCACTGCTGCCACGGCCTATACTTACAGCTGCTCACCGCAGAGCTCTGCCCTGCACTTATGGCTGAGAGTACGGCGCTGCCACTGGCTGCTTTCACACAACACACACTGAGTCACACGGGGCCGACGTGCCAGCTGTGTACAGGCTCTTCCCTCCTGACGTCGGACTGTGCTCTTGTTGTTGTTTTTGTGTGTAGGATTTTACAATAGGAATGCACCCTGACTGCTGTGACATATTTGAGGCAGCAGGGCTGGAATTCCCACGGAGTTTGGAGGAAGCTGTCAGTGTGGCACCGTGACGGTCCGACCCTTGTAGTGATTGGACAGAATGGCCATCTTTTTGGAGGAGTTCCTGTCAAAATGACTAGTTCTCAAAATACTGTTTTTTCTCGTGGTAAAAGTGACAGTGGACAGATTTTTAGAATAGTAGAATTCTACCCATGTTGAAAGTGTTCCACAACATGTAAAATAAATCCTAATAACCTAAGCTAACCTCATCACCTGCCGTGGTGCCGTTCAACCCTGAGTGCAGGTGCAGGAGCATGACATCACCGGTCCCACTGAGCTCTCAGCTGTGTCGTACGAACCTGGCAGCGGCTGTTTTTATTTTCCCTTTCCCCGACACGCCCTGATGTAATCACGCCACACTTAAATAACGTGTTTGAAACGCTTGCTTTCATGTGACACCTATGATGTCAAGACAAATTCCCCGTGTGGGTCAACAAAGGTGTCGGTTACATAAAACAAAATACGCTGACGTGACGCTATCCTCAAACCTGAGCTGGAATTATCCGGTTCAGTTTAGCTGCGTCTTCTGCTGCAGCCGTGGATCACATAACTGTGGGCCAGTGTGGGTACAGTGTCGGAGTAATCCTGAGTGACAGGGTAATGACGGTGTAATGTATAGGCGTATTTGCTGTTGAAACCACACACACACAGCCACACACACACACACCAGTGTCAGGTGTGTGTGGCTGTGTGAAGTCACAGGAAGCTCAGCTGTGTTCTCTCTAACCCTCAGTTCACGTCCTGGGGCAGCGGCACCTTCAAACACACCGTCTTTTTCCCATGATTCTCACTGCTGCTCCTGACGCTGCTCCATGTTCTGAGTTTGACATGGAGAAAGATATTCATGGAGGGTTCATCAACGTCATTTATTAAATGCTACGACTTATTATCTTTGGACAGATTTAAACTTGTCCTCACTTTTAACCATTATTTAATGTGATTTCTTTTCTTTTCTTTGTCTAAATTAATGTTCTATTGTTTGCTAATGGTTAGCACTGGTTGTGCAGAAATTGTTGGCTGGCTGTTAGATATTGTGGACCAACACTGTCATGTTTCCAAACAAACTAATTTAGCTTCCATTTTTGAAATATTCAGCAGTTTGTTTGCTATTATTTGGATTTTTTCTTACTATAATATAGGTTTTTTCTTACACTTATCCGTTGGTGTAACTTAAAAAAAAAATTTGGCCTAGGTGGCAAAAACTATTTTGTAAGTGTTAAAACTGTTCATTTTCCCCTCAGGCCTCTGCTGATCTCTGGGCCTGGGTTTAAAATATTGAATATATCCACAGGTTAAAGAAAACCAAACTCACAGTTTGACCTGAAGAGTTCAAATGTTCTTTGTGCCTGAATTCTGATTTTTTTTTTTTACAGTGTGTGTCACAGAAGAATGGTTCTCAGTTTTTGTGTTCCTCACAATGGCTTCTCTTCTCACAGGTTGTGGTGAATGGAGCAGACGTTGTCTCATTGTCCTCGGCAGGACGATGGAGTTTCTCATCTGCCTCAGGAGACGAAGCAGCTTTGTCCCCACACTTGTACTGGATCAGAGGAGACACAATGATACAGGGAGCTGCTCTTCAAACGACCCACGCTTACTCACCTGGTTGGAATGTCTCTCTCTGTAACACACACACACACACACACACACACACACACACACACTTGTCACCAAGTTCCCACAGACAGTAAAAAGAATTCCACAGATTTTTTTCCCTTGAAAATTTCAGATGTGTCAAATTGCACAGACCTTGTCCACGTTAGTTATGTTAACGTATTTGTGTGTGTGCGACTGATTTATAGTAGGTCAAAATATATCACTATGTCATAATAATAACAATAACAGTTGTATTATTTATTTCTGGTCAAATATAACAGAAAGCTAGTGCTAACGTTCAGCTGTTTTTGGCCCAGTGTTAGTCGTCTGTTTGAGGTTTTCTTTTACTCTGGTCATTCATTAGTTTTCATGTAGCTAAGTGCTGCTATGGTTTATACTTAGATATATAAGAGAAGCTAAAATAAATGTGTGCTAATTGCATTTCAGTTATTTCATTTATAAATGTTTGTAATTTTTTATATTCTGTCAGTTTGTGTTTCCAGATACCTTTAGTCGTCCACTTTAAATATCCACTCTATACACATTTAATAACGGTACAAACTTTGACATCAATGGTGAACAAACCAGAACCTGCCGCATTTATTAGGAGGCAGAGAGTGTAAATGAGGCGGGATTGACAGGAGAGCTGTAAGAACACATTTAATTTGTACATTTCCATCTTAGAGAAGAAGAGCGATGGATCCGTGCTCGGCGCCCGTTAAACAAAACAAAGCCAGGCCCGTGTTATTGATCACTTTGGATACGCAGTGACACGTCTCCAATTGTTTTCCAACATCGCAGCCGATCAATACGGAGGAGCGCAGGGAGAGAGCAGGGGGCTAAATGATGCCTTCTCTCTTTAGAGACTGGGGGAAATTGACAGACTGCCAGGTCTGAGGGGGCCGCGCTCGATAGGTATTGTCATCAGCTTCAGATTTATCATCCGTATGGATGTGCTGCCGTGTAGCACCTCACTTATTTTCCAACATGGAAGATGAAGGTGTCAATACTGTGTGAGTGATACTGTTACACCGAGCAGTGTCAGAAAACTGTTGTAGCA